TCATCGCTGGTATTGGTATCGGTGCCATTTCTGCTGTCGCACCTGCCTTCGTATCCGAATGTTCTCCCAAGGAGGTCCGTGGACGCATTACGGGGTTGTTCCAAATCATGGTTGCCGTCGGAGTCATGCTCTCGTACTGGGTCAACCGTATGTTCATTATCTAGTCCCACTGTGTTAGGCACTCATTCAGCTGTACAGTGGGAATTAGCCTGCACATCAAGTCTGGCCCTGCCATCTGGCGCATTCCCTTCGGGCTGCAGCTCGTGCCCGCAGGAATAATGTGTCTTGGCTTGACCACTGTGCGCGAATCGCCTCGGTGGCTCGCCTCGAAAGATAGGCATGTCCACGCTATTGCCAACCTGGCGTACCTCCGCCGTCTGTCCCCCGATCACGAGAACGTACGACACGAATATGCTGAAATCCAAGCTGCGATCCAGGAGGAGCGTTATGCAAGGCAAAGTCTAGGACTGAAGGAGGCGTTCCTTGGCAAGGGCAACTGGCAACGGTTCTTCATCGCAATCGTCATCTTCTTGTTCCAGCAATGGTGTGGACAGAACTCGGTTAACTACTATGCGCCTCAGATCTTCACTTCGGTTCGTCTCTTCTGGTCAACCCCATCGTGTGAGTGCTAACAATCCTTGGGACAGATTGGATACAACGGTACATCGAACTCACTCCTCGCATCCGGTATCTACGGTATCGTCAAGGTCGTCGCAACGTCGCTCTTCGTCTTCTTCCTGGTCGAGTCGCTCGGACGAAAATGGTCGCTTTTCATCTCTGCCGTGGGCATGGGCACTCTGTTCTTCATCATCGGCGCGCTGCTGAAGACCTTCCCGCCACCGACAAGCGGCTCAAATCCTCCGCCTGCCTCCAAGGCTATGGCCGCGATGCTCTACATCTATGTCTGTTTCTATTCCATGGGATGGGGCCCGCTTCCGTACGTCTCATCTGCCTCCTCGCGATTGCGCCCACGGCTCATAATTTGATTCTTGATATAGGTGGGTATATGTGGCTGATATCTTCCCCACTCGCACTCGGCATTACGGTCTTGCGACAGCGAGTGCCTCGCAGTGGCTGTTCAACTTCGTTGTGTCCAAGGTCACCCCTACGCTCGAGACGGATCTCGGCTACAAGCTCTTCTTCATGTTTGCGACGATCAATATCGGCGGCATGGCTATATTCTGCTTGTGCGTCATTACGTATCCTTCTGCTGAGCATGTTCTGACTGTCATATTTGCATCTCCAGACTGATCCCAGAGACGAAAGGTCGCTCGCTCGAGGAGATGGATATCATCTTCGGTGCAGTCCAGGCCGATAAGCGGCAAGCGGATATCGAGAAAGAGGAGCGCGCGATAGACCACGACCTGGACGTCGAGCCTGTGTCTCCGGAAGCAGATTCAGTACGCTCGGACTTCGATCAAAAGGTCTAAGTGCGCGTCGAAAGGCGAGATACCCGAACCGCAGGCATGGACACGATGTCTTCTGTCGTTTACGATACCGATTCATGCAGCTCATGTGGTTATATTGCCAGTGATGATACCTACGACATATTGTAACGGATGTAATAAATCATTGTATTCTAGCAGTAATGCACGGTTTGTGAGAGGCTCTCCGAATATGTCAAGACAAGCCAACGAGCTGTGTTTCAACTCCGGACAGTGCGCGGCATGTCAACGAAACTGAGTCAAGCTCCCGCACGCTGTACTGGCACTGTTCTCAGGTCGGGTTAGTGATAATTGTGCGTGGCCGTGCAGCCGCTTTAGTAACTGGTTTACACTGTACGATAGCAAAAAATAAAAGAAAATATCAAGACGACAGCAATTGGGCTCAGCCGGGAATTGAACCCGGGACCTCTCGCAAGCGTACCAGTAATTGGTGGGAAAACCCGAAGCGAGAATCATACTACTAGACCACTGAGCCTGGTAATATTGATTACCCTCATACATACCCATTGGGTGGGCCTCCAGAACGCTTTTTCAACCCAACACGACTTACTCCATTTCCTTGTCATTTCGAGTCGTTCTTTATCGTATGGCATCCTATTGGCCCTCGTCGTATTCATCACGCTACTGTCTCATGGTTCGAAGACTATTCAGGCCAATTATCACCGCTACCTCACACCGTGCAGGGTGCTCCATATGGTACATCAGATTGAACGTGGGCGTCATGGTCTCCCTATTGTAACATCATCACCGCCCTGGGAGCTGAAGACTGCGACTTCCGCGATCTAGGATGAGAAAGTCCTTAGACTGAACTATCATCAAGTTCTTGGAACGCGTGCGTTGAGGTGACAAGTTCAGCTGGAGACGGCAGCCTCCTCATCTGCCCAACTGACCCTTCGATACTCAGCGTCCTTCCAAACCACCAAATACCCCGAAGCACTCTTTGGATGCAGAAGGACACGTTTGAACGGTTTGACGGGAAGCCCAAACCCGTTCTTCCGACAGACGTTCACACCGCGTACCCAGCTCAAACCGTCGATTGCTCACCTACGGCGACGTCGACTCTCGCCGGAGCGTACCAGTATCGAATCGTGGTGCTCAGCCTTGGATTGGCTGCGTGTATACTTCTCCTGCATGGCTGGCCTATGAGCATTATCTCAGAGTCTTCGCACTCGGTCACAGGGCTAGATCCATTCTTTTCTGCCGTCAAGTCGCATGTCAACTCGAGCTTATGCCCCGGGATGTACGCCCGTGACGGATCTGTGTCCCATTCGGGTCATATTGGCTTGAAAGGTGACAGTGAAGATGAACCACGGAGGGCATTCTTCTGGTAAGCTTATCAATTCGTCTTTGATACGCTGCTGCCCCCCACTGATCGTCACAATCATGAATATACAGGTTCTTCGAAGCGCAAACAGGGTCCGCGGATGCACCTCTCATGTATGTCATTCAAAATCGTATTTTTGCTGAATAGCTAAGGTATAATCCGGATTGGACGCACTCGACATCCTGCTATTCACCGGTATCTGCGTGTTTGAATGTAACATGCCAGTTTAACTATAGGTGGCGGACCTGGAACAAGCGGAATGTTGAACCCACTCATTGGGCGTACGTTTGCGCACTCGCTTCATGGGCAGCTGCTGACTTCTCCATTCTTGAGCCCAGAGTCGCACTGCAGAATCACGGCCAATGGTACCCTTCCGAATCCGAATGCATGGACAGAGAAGTTTTACCTCCTTGCTCTTGATCATGTATGCCTGCAATGATTCTATCACGGGCTTTTCAGTTGACTGTACGCATCTCTGTCTTATAGCCCATCAGCGTTGGCTTCTCGTATGGTCGTGGAGTGAATAACTCTCGAGATGCAGCGTTCGATACGTATGATTTTCTACAGAAGTTCTTTACCTTATTCCCCGAAGTTGCAAAGTGCGTATGAGTGCCTTTGTTTGGCTATCACCCCTCACTCCGCATATTATGACAGGAGCTCTTTGGTGCTTGCATCGGGTTCTTATGGCGGGGTACGTTCAGCGAACCTTCAACACGGGTCTATATGGCTGATGATCGAGCTCTCATATATAAGACATACATTCCACACATCGCCACTGTGATCCATGAGCAAAACATGGCTCTTGCACAGAGCATGGAGAGTAGGCGCAAGTTTACACCCTCGCCGCTTCTTGTACCGGGCGCACAACATATCAATCTAGAGAGCTTGATGATCAGTAACCCCTACTCCGTACGTCCCTCTCTAGGGTACCATATACTTTGACTACTATCCGTCGAGTTTATAGGATGCACTCCACCATTATCGCTGGGCCAATCAACAGCGATGCTATCTCACGGATCTGTTCAACGCCACACAATGCCAGGCGTCATTCGAGCGCCTTCCCTCGTGCTTGGAAGCAATACAAGTTGCGTACGAGCAGCCTACGCGTGCCAATAAGAAAATTGTGATGCATGAGTGTCAGAAGACCGCCGTGGAAGATCTGAATAATCGATCCTACGAAAACGTTCGCTGGCGGGTATGTGCACGATCGTTCTCATTCTTGTCGCCATTCACACTGAACCCCTCAACATAGTGCGCTGGCCGAAATTTCGAAGACTGTGTTCCTGAAGCGGCGTGGGCCGCATCGTTTTTCAACGATACAAAGATCAAGGCTGCACTAGGCGTTCCAGGCTACCTTAATTTCTCTGCAGCCAACATGGAAGTATTTGAGGCGTTCAAAGATGAGGGCGATCTGTCAGTATCATCGTCACAAAGAGCGTGTCATACTGTGCTGATTCATTTTCAGAGTCCAACAGGCCTATTTGCTGTATGAGCCCCTCTTGGAAGCAGGTTACAGACTTCTCCGTAAGTGACTTGTACCCGCCAGTAATGGGCTCAACAAACACTGTTCCTTTGATTTGCAGACTACGTCAGTAGGGAAGACGCGAACTGCGCCTGGCCCGGAATTATCGCTTTCGTATGTTTGCTTCCTCTTACTCACCGCTACTGAAAATTTACGGCCGTTCCACTCTCAAGCTCAAACTTCTTCGATCCCGCTACCGAGAGGCGTTCATCGCTGCGCCGGATGTACCCTGGACGACTAGCCCAGATGAACATGCCGATGTGACTACTGTTCGCGCAATTGGGCCGGGTGCGGGGAACATGACTTATATCCTACTCGGAGGTGCAGGTCATCTGGTGCGTTCGAGCTGTAACTTACAGGACGACTATTGATGCTTTGTACGTTGATACGATGTAGGTAACTAAGGACCAACCTGTTGTTGTCAAGAGTATCGTGGAACATTGGGTCGAGAATACGGAATGGTTTTGATCAGAGACTATGCGACTTCCTCTATGTATTCGTGTAGGTCCAGTGTACAAGTTTGCATACCAGCTGTACTTGACAGTACTACAGCAGTGTCTGTAATTCCGCCCGCATGCGTGTATCAACATCGGCCTTTTTGTACACGAGCTAATGAAATGATCCCCAGTACTAGTAAATCGCGAGGTTCTTGCCAGTGGTGACGAGTTGTCTATGTGGTCGAACAATTACATGGGCCAATGACGTCATCGGCTCAGTGGTCTAGTAGTATGATTCTCGCTTCGGGTTTTCCCGCCAATTATTTGGTACAATTGCGAGAGGTCCCGGGTTCAATTCCCGGCTGAGCCCTCCATTCCTTCCCCACTCCAGTCCTTTTTAACTCGCAGTGACGCCTTTTTAAAATCTATAATATACAATGTTCATGTCATCAGTATATGGTTTAAGCTTCCCCAATGTCATTCATAAACTTACTGAGCATGTGACGATGTGACTACTAACTGTGTCACAAGGTATTCTCGAGTGTCGCCACACTCAGGGCGCTCCAGTGGCACTCCCAGCTCACTGCCATCCACGACGCTAGCATTCTGCCCTTGCGTTATCTTCCCTCATCCGTACTTTATCCGTACTTTCTTGGCCAGCAGATAGATTTCATTTCATGCACCCGCACGCTGTTGTATACTTACTGCCACCGACCGGTCATCCTAGAATCCCCTACCCAGCAATGGCCAAGTCAAGAGGCACTAAGGCCCTGGCACTCATACAAGTGGGACAATACTAGAACAACGTGTATTCCTCGAGTACTTAAATCCCAGCGAACCATGGCTGCCAGCATTTCAAGCATAACCTTACCTTCCATCGGCCTCCGATAGTCCTACCTCTCGACGACCAGTCTCAGCAATGTCAGACGAGTGGGAACAACGGATTCGTGATCGCGAGTCAGCAGGCCTCACTCAGGTCTATAGAGCGACCGCGTATCTTACGCAGATTCAATTGGCGTATGCTACACGGTTGCAGGTCTACCGAGATTTCTTAGCAGTTCTGAGAGCGTGCTCTCAAAGAACGTAAGTCAGCTCAGGTTATCGTCTATGTATCACTAAACATATCCTTTCATCTCAGTATCGACCTATCGTCTGCCAGGCAGCACATTGTATTTCTCTTCCGCGAACATCCCGAATTCGTTGCCCAGTTCGACTTCTTCGCTTCTTTGTCCCCGGTCACCAGTTTGTAGGTCCCCGACACGGCCATAGTACACGGTACCTGAGTACGAATATTAAATCTGAAAGGATCGTCGGGAACTAAGAGGCCGCGTATTAGTTTCATATAACTGGCTCTGTATATTGACTGGATACATTGACTTATGACATAGGACTTCGACAATGACCTGTGGACAATTGTATTCGCACTAGAGAACTGTTGTGCATTCCCCCGCCACAGCCACTGTTGCTGACATTGGAAACCCGGTATCAGTGTTGTCCAGGTTCCATAAGAGGTAAGCGACGAATTCGTACATGTGTCGATCACCGAAGACAAACCTGCCAGCCTCGGTGGTTCGTCGATCATATATACCTCTAGCGTTCGGTGAACACTCCCTCGGACCCGTTCCACATCCTCGTCCCCGCTACGCTACAGTCTATTCCGCCGCCTCCCTTGGCATACACACTCCTTTACGCACACGCTCTCTATCCCTTTCCTACACAACTATGCCTTCCTTCGTACGGATGTTGAGTGCCGTGCTCATCTTCACAGGCACTATGACGGGCGCGATCGCGAGTGTACCACCGGTGCCGGGGTCCTTCAACCCAACGAAGACTACGACCTTACACACTCGGAGCAATGGAGGACTGAATCCAATGGGAAAAGCTCCGCATGCTCTGGAAATGATTGAGACGAATGCGAAGCGTATGGCGCGCGGCTTGCCTCCCAACAAGCCACGCTTTCGCCGGCACGGTATGTCGCCTTTCTCTCGTACGACCGACACTATCTAATACCCTATTGAAGATCGCATCAGGCCGCGTGCCTCTCCCGCTGCTCAGGCCAATGCCGTTTGCACCCGCAACGGTGTTATACGCGTCTCATCTCCTGCGAACGCCCCTTCAGACGGGAACGGTCCCCGCCCAACGCTGGACGGATACCTCAGCTCAACTGCGAACGACTTCGGGGAGTACCGTTATACTACACAGAGAGACAATGCATTACGAGTGACTATCAACACCTGCGACGGCACTCCGTTCAATATTTTGGCGTCGGTACGTATTTCTCTGGAGTCTTAGAGCGCGGAGGCTGACGCTTGGTCCAGAATGGACTCAGAGACTTCCCCTTCGTCGGAGCTGTCAAGGGCTATTCGTCGGATTCTCCCAATTTGGCCGACGGATCTTTCAACTACGTCTACATTGGTGGTGTCACACAAAGTACGTTGCCGTTACTGTTGTCCATCCTCAGAGTCACTAACACCTGTGTACTTTGTCTGTCAGCCGCACCTCTTGCTCCGCCTCAAGACATCCCCAATGCTTTCACTGCGGCGAGCGAGGTAGCTGAGGACAGCGAGAGTGCCATATGGCGGTTCCAAAGCGGCAGTGACACCGTTTTGGAGGCACAATGGGTCAACACGGACTCGAGCACCCCTCAAGACAGCCTAGTATACGTTCCCAGCGAAGATGTGTTCATCCTTACGGGAGACGTGGGCAGATTTGAGGAGACATTTGAGAACGTCTCAGAAACGGTAAGAGTGTTTTCCTCGACATATTGTCTCCGTGTTACTGACGACACGAACCTTGACTCATAGACATTCACCTTTGAAGCGGTTTAGTTATCACGACCCGTGTACCAAGCCTCGGCATATCCACTGCACTCTGAACTCGACTTACCCGATCATATTGCATTATGTAGTAGCATTGACACCAAATTATCGCATCGTAGCATCTCAATCAATTCCGAACCTGTGCTGTATATGTTGTTCGAATCATCGTGAAGGGGTGTTCGGGGTCGTAAAGATGTCAATGGGGCGCCGCGGTTTTTTGGACGCGCTTTGCAAGTTGGCTCCTAACCACCATCGCGGTGGGAACTATCTAATTTGTTCTTGGGCCCGTCACCCCATTGAAGAGATGACTTGCTTTACTAGCCAACGTCCTAGGACCCCGTATCCTACTGTCAGCCCACGCAAGCCCGCGAATTATAACACTCAGTCCCAGCGGCTGGCTGTTCCTTCCGTGAACAAGAGTCTCTGAGTCTCTCTGAGTCAGTTCGGCTCCAGGTGCGCAATCATAGACATGTGGCTCATTGCGAGCTTCAGTCGTAGCGCGACTCTAGGCGTATCCAATGCGATGCTACCGAACGGGCCCACTTCTAGCTCAATGTGGAGGACTTTCTCTGGATTTAGAACCTGACTCTCAGCAGGTCCACGAAAAGCTGTCAGCCTTCCTATTTGTGTCATCCTCTCATGATACTTCGAGCCAGGATACTATAAATGCTGGTGGAAAGGCCAGATGCTCCTGTCAGGTGCGACCTCTTAAGATCTTCATCTAGCACCCAGGTTCCACCAGGCTGACCCGCCCAAGCCCCTACGCTCGACGCCTAATCGCTCGCAAATATTTTCCCGATGGCACCCTTCAATACACACTACAAGGCCGCGACGGTATACATGCCCAATCCTGCCTCGCAGGATGCTTTCGACGCGAAGCTCAACCAGACGGTCTTCGCTGTTGCGTTTGGGCTGGCGGCGCTCGTCTTCCTTGGCGCCGCCGCGTGGGTCAGCTACTGGGCCGTTGGACGCTGTAGAGCGCAACGAAGGGCTTCGACAGGCGTACAAAAGACCGGGCCGAGGGCATTGCTGCTTCCTGGACAGGTGGCGGCAAGGGATAGCCTGAAGGGGGAGGAGGGCCTAGATGATGAGCCCGAGGAGAATATCGGCGAGGGGGAGAAGGAGAGGCGCAGTTTCTGGTTTAAAAAGATGAGGGTCGGCCGGCGAACGGCGAAGGTATGTCCGTCTCCAGTCTAACCCGCCACTTACCTTACACTTATCCGGGCTTTCAGGACGATGATGCTGCCAAGTATGCAAATCGCCGATCGTTGGTCCAGCCTCCCCCACGCGCGCATCTCAACCCACGTCTCTCTCTTGCCGCAGACTTCCCCGGCCTTTTCGCGTTCGACGCCTCGTACTCGCCTCCCCTTTCAGACCTCAGCGACTCGAGCGGCTCTGAAGACTCCGACAGCATCCCGCGTATCAAGATCGAGGATGTCGACCACGGCTCGATGTCCAATGACGCGTTGTCAATAGGCGTATCGCAATCCCAGGCAGGCTCTGATATGTCGCTCGACGAGAAACAAGATGACGAGCGCCTTTCCGTCCCGCCGATGAGCTGGAACGCGCCTCGCGACTCGGATGCCGTGGACGACGATGTAGAGAAGAACGACGATCATGTGGCTGGCACCAGCTGTCAGCTACCACAGCATGCGCAGAATCCTCTGCAGCGGACTGCGTCCCGCTCTGGAAACGAAGGAGAGCTCAAGCCCAGGATGAAAACCGCACTTGCTAATCTCCATAACATTACTCGCTTCCGTCCAAGGCTTTCACGTCAAATGCTCAGCAAGACAAGACCCGTCACTGGCCTGTCCTCAAGATAATGCAAGTGTGTTCCGCTTTCATTGGTTCTTTTGCGTCACAAGCTGTCCCGCTGTATGGTTTCGATATCTGGCTATCTGGTTTTCTGCTTATATATTCTTTGCACCTGAGAATTTCGTCTTTCTTTCGCTGTGTAATAACTTTCTTTACCATTGCTTTCTACCACACATATGTCTGCTATTGAATGTCGGGGTAAAAATGTTCGCACCTGTATTTGGGCTAGGAGAAAGTGAATCTACAATTGTGGCAGCTCCGCGAATCGATCCAGAGTCTTTGTCAGCACCTCGATCCCGCAAGGTCCAGACGCTTCAACCGCTGAGCCAGTGAGGGAGAATTTTGAGCGCTTCTCAATTGGTATCAGACCTGATTCTGTTTATCGACTTCTTTCTCTCGAGTCTCTTCATCGACCTCGTACCAAGTTTACATCCCCAGTCGCTTCAGATTGTATTTGCTAACATTCGGAATCCTTCCAATTATCTTTCAGCTATCTCGACGGCAGGACATCATTGGGTGCAGTGGCAACTCCATCACATTCGAAGAGCTATAGGAGCTTTGGGCAACTTTCCTTCAGGATCAGACCGCATATATTTTGACCATGGTATGTACACTGCGGTTTACACTAAATTATGGGCTGAATTGATATTATTCAGACTGTATGTACAGATTGCGGAGGCACCGTCATTGAATATGACGCCGCTGCGGGAAACGGATTTTGTGTGAACTGTGGAAC